TTGCACAGCCAGCTATACCAGCAGGCCAAGCTCTGTCTCGGTCAACCCGTGGAGTCCTATTTCTAACCTCTAAACGTCGGCAACTTCACATGTATTCTAATCCCACTCACTTCCCAGTACTTTTTTATCCAACCTCCGTCCTTGTAACCTCTCCCCAAAAAGAAAAGAAGAGGAAGAAGAGGAGGAAGAAGAAAAAGAAGAAGAAACCAAATCCCACTCACTGACCCTCCAGGCCATGCCTGCTCCTCTGTCTGTCAGCCTTCTCTCACACCTGTCACCACTCTGCCGTCTCCAGTTGCTGTGCCGTATTTCTACCACTCCACTCCTCCATCTTTCCTGCCTCTCCATCATGTATCTCTTTGTCATAGTGGTGTTGGGAGCTGCAGTGTGCCCCACAGTATACAGTTCTGTCCACACATCTTCACTTGCACATGTTCATTGCAGTGAGTCCTTGGTCTGATTTAAGGCCTCTGGCTTCTGCTACACCATGGATCCTGGACCCTCACCAGGACTCCTCTCAGATATCCTGCTGTTGCCCAAAGTCATGAAGATCCTCAGGTTATGGACCCACCCCTTCACAAGCTCTCAAAGCTCATAGATAGGTTATATGTAGGGGTGGGTCAACTCAAGGCCCTAGATGTGGCCTGGGTGGTAGCTGAGTTGGTTTGTTTAGGTCTCCTCCAGGCCTCCCCTCCTCCAAGTGAGAGGCAGGGCTGGCTCTCTCCCATGTAGCCCTGGTTGAGGGGTAGGGCTACCTCTCCTCTGTGTGTGTGTGTGTGTGTGTGTGTGTGTGTGTGTGTGTGTGTGTGTCTGTCTGTCTGTCTGTGGTGGCCATCAAGAATGGGGGCTGGCTCTCCTGTGGCTGGATGAGGTGCCAGTCATAAGCAGGATTTCTAATGAAAATTCAATCTATAATTTTGGTTGAGGGGGGTGTATGGTCAAGTGGCAGAGTTTGCCTAGCATGCACAAGGGATCCATCCCCAGCATTACAAAAAAGATTCCATTGTTCTTATACAAAGTTGTATTTCAACCCATCTATGTGTTAAGATTGCTTGGTCTGGAGAGATGGCTCAGGTGTTAAGAGTACTTACTGTTCATGCCGAGGACCCAAGATTTGTTCCCATCTCCCGCACGGTATCAACTCACATCCACTTATAACTCCAGTTGCAGGGCACCTGACACCTTCCTCTGACCTCCGACAGGTACTGCACACACATGGTGAACATATGCAGAAAAAGCACTCATAAGACATAAAGTAAATAAATAAATCTTAAGAAACAGATTCTGGCTGGGCAGTGGAGGCGCATGCCTTTAATCCCAGCACTTGGGAGGCAGAGGCAGGTGGATTTCGGAGTTCGAGGCCAGCCTGGTCTACAGAGTGACTTCCAGGACAGCCAGGGCTATGCACAGAAACCCTGTCTAGAAACAAACAAACAAACAAACAAACAAACAAACAAACAAAAGAAACAGATTCTGAATACGGCCACATCCTCATCAGGGCCATGGTGTGCTTTCATATTTGCCAGTTAGAGGAAACTCATAGCTTGGCAGTTTTCCTTCTTGATTTATAGACTGCTTCTTTTCAACATCTTAGCTACTTATTTCTATGAATTATCCCCTTTTTTTTTCATTTTTCTTTGTTTTGGTTTTTATGAGACAAGGTTTCTCTGTGTAGCCCTGGCTGTCCTGGATCTCACTCTGTAGACCAGGCTGGCCTTGAACTGAGAGATCTGCCTGCCTCTGCCTCCTGAGTGCCGGGCTTAAAGGCATGTGCCATCACTGCTGGCTGCTTAAATTTTTTAAAAAGATTTATTTGGGGGCTGGAGAAATGGCTCAGTAGTTAAGAGTACTGGTTACTCTTCCAGATGATCCCAGCATGTAGATGGCGGTTCAGTGCCATCTGTAACTCTAGTTCCAGAAGCCCTCTTCTTGTCTCCGTGTACACCAGGCATACACATGGTGTACACACATATGCAGGCAAACTCCCACACATGTAAAAATAAATATATTTTTAAAATATGTATTTTTTATTCATGTGTATATGTCTGTGTGTGTATATGTGTCAGAGGTCAGCTGCTGTCACAGGCAGTTGTGAGCTCCTGATGTGGATACTGAGAACTGGACTCAGGTCCTCTGGAAGGGCAGCATGCATTCTTCATCTCCCAGCCAACCCTCCAGCCCCCTTTTTCTTTGTCTGTCTAGTTATTTCCTCTGTCTATAGTGCTCTTCTTCTCTCCACTATCCAATCTTTCTAATTTGTGTCTCTGTGTGTATTTGTCTGTGCAATGTGCATGTGTGCAAGTGCACATGCCTGTATATGTAGGTATGGAGGACACAGGTGGACATTGTCCTCCTGATCCATTTCCACATTTTTTTTGAGACACTGAACCTGTTTGGCTACTTTTGCTGGCCATCGAGCTGAGGGATCTGCCTGTTTCTGCTCTGTCTCTGGGCTTACAGGCACACATCACTATTCCCGGCTTTCACACGGGTGCTGGGAATCTGAACCGAGGTTCTCGTCCTTGGACAGCTCCCAGCCTCATCAGCCTTCATGTTTGTGCAGCTGTTTCTGTGTTAAGAGAAGGCCTCGGTGGCTAAAGCATCTCTCCACCCCACCACCCAGACACACAGCTCTCGTCTCCCTGCTGATGATCACGTGCATGTCACTAGTCGCCTTAGAAACCCTTTTTCTTCCTTCTCCTCTACTAACATTGTCCCCTACCTTTCCCTACTCCCAAGATACTTTGTGCAGTTTGTTCACTTTCATATTCCCCGTGTCAATAAATATTTCTTGGTAAATCTTATCTGTAATTTAACACTTGGAAGGATGAGCCAGGAAGACTCTATAAAGCAAACACCAGGCCAACCGGGGCCACACTACAAGACTATCTCATAAATAAACAAGCAAACAAACATATTTGTAGATTAGAGGCTAGGGAGATGGCTCAGTGGGCAGAAACACTTGCCGAACAACCATGAGGACCTGAGTTCAAGTCCTTAGCACAGACCATGGCTGTGTGTACATCTATAATTCCAGTACTCTGGGCCACTGTCTGTCCAGGTTCAGTGAGAGGGCTTGTGTCAGTGGAGTAACACAGAATGTGATACAGCAAGTCTCCTGACATCCTCTTTTGGCCTCTGCAGGTGTGTGTATATGCTCACAGACCCGTGAGCATATACTGCACATTCACTAACAAACGCTCGCATACTTTCAAATTTTACCAGTTGAATGAATGGATGAATAAAAAAATACACATTCTAATTAACAAACATTTTCCATTTTGTAAAAGGCAAGGACTTGCTATGTAGCCCAGATTCTTTTCAAGTCTATATTCCTCCTGCCCCCCCACCTCCAAGCTGCCAGGATTAAAGCCATCCACCACCACACCCAGCGATCCAGTTTTCAAACCATGGTCTCCATCTTAGATCAGCATCCATGCTTCCCAGCCATGTGACCTTAGGAAAGCTACCAAACTTCGGTATCCTGTCTATGAAATAGAAGAGGTGAAGGGAAAGAGGGTCTTTCCTACAAGTAGACTGAATGACGCAGATTTGGAGCGCAGCTGAGTGTGTGGGATGTAGTATGCTTTTAGGAAACGTCATACAACATTAGCTGAATGCTGATAGGAACGGGACATTGTCCCCAAGAGTAAAAGAGAACCAACTGGAAATCTGCCTAAATATTATACCCGACTTCTATGCAGAGCTACTCCTGATATACACACAGCAAAGGCTGCCCAAATATTATACCTAACCGTTCTATACAGAGCTACTCCTGATATACACACAGCAAAGGCTGCCCAAATATTATACCCAACCGTTCTATACAGAGCTACTCCTGACAGTAAAGGCTGCTGGCCAGCACTGGTGCAGGGAGAAGCAGACAAGTTACCAATTCAGGGACATTGTTCAACGCAAGTGACAGTTCAGAAATAAGAAGATGAAATGTGGGGCTGGAGAGATGGTTCAGCAGTTAAGGGCACATACAAGGGTACATGCTGTTATTGCAGAGGACCAGCATTTGGTCCCAAGCACATGCCTTAACAACCTATAATGTCAGTTCCAGCAGATCTGACACTTTCTTCTGGCCTCTGTTGGCACACACATGCATGTGCACAAACCCACACAGGCACACACACATAAACAAAATATGTTCCTTATTTTAAAAGATGAAACTATTTCTACTGAAAAGTCAAAAGCTTGAAGAAAACTAACAGGAGAGTGACACGCCAACAAAAATGCTTAGTTCGATGAAATACGATGAAATAAAAAAAATTAACTGTTTTTTACACCAACAATTTCAGAATGACAAAACTATTTTGTAAGTGCTTAGATGCAAGTAAGAAACTTTAACTTTCCAAGCTCCAGATGAGAAAAAAAATAGGGTTTTACCAGCGACGCTATAAAAAGATCTGTGTATTAGTACAAATCCAAACACGTACCCAGCATTGGCCCTGATCCCCATCCCCCACTCCCACTTTCTCCTTTGGAAAACTGCAAAAGCAAAAGCCAGAGGATCTTACCAGAGTGTAGAGAGTGGTGCCATCCCCTGCCAGCCTTACATTCCCAGGTTAGCCCATCCCCTGCCA